TCGAATTTAACCCTTTGCACTCGAGAGGTGACCCAGCTTTGTTCCTCAATGAGTGATTTCTCTTCGAATTAGTCTCAATATTGCAGCAGTTGTAATAAACTACCCTAAAATTTTGTATTAACAAGGAAAATAAAAGATCGAAGAAATTAGTTGCAGTTGCTGGTAGGTTACAAAACCATCTGGAGTTAAGGGTTAATGGTTACAGCTATTCCATTAGTTTCCCGCGCTACCCTTGACTCGTCTGCTTTATTAGCGCGCAGGCGTTCGCGCCGGACTGTTGGCGAATAATCAACGGATATTGCAGTAGTATATCAGTATTACTCAGCAATTCGGCTTACTATTACGAGTCTCACCCTCGGCACACAATAACGAGGCTGTAGATTTCTCGGTTGATCGAATAAATGCCGCCGTTATTCGTCGCGCGCGCGGATCAAAGGAAAACTTCTCCCTCTATCAGATATTCTATTAATATCGCGCGGAACACTTGATAATTTCGCTGTATCGAATCAAGTGGCGATTCAAAGTCACCTCTCAAGTGCACAGGGTTAAACCGGCGCGTATCGGGAACCGGTTGCGCGCGTTCCGCGACTCGTTGACGGGCCACCTAGGTGCCAACCACGCGCGCCGTTCGGTCGAATGATAATTAACCCGCCCCCGTGATACGCTCGATACGTCACTGTCACGGCCGAACCACGCACCGGGTGTTTGGAAAGCTGGAAATCGGTCACGGGTACCACGAAGCCGATCCGCTTCACCGGCTATTCGGTTTCGCGGGAAATCGAAAGGGCATACCAAAAACAGACGGTTAACCTTTCACCTACAACCTCTCCCATAATTATAGAATAAATACAGAGGAGTTTCATCGTTGGTAATTCACCAGGAAAACCGAAGATTACACGAACCCTTTGCACTCGAGAATATTTTTCTCAAATATTCATTATTTTCTGATAAGATATCAATGATACTTTTTACAATTGACATAAAGAAATACCTTGTATAAATTAAGTGACTATTTTATTTCGATGTTCCGTGTATTGATACACTATATAAAGTTTAATATTGAATCTGAGATTTTATCATTTTGTTGGGTCGAATCCAGCGAAAGGCGTCTCTCGAATGCAAAGGGTTAACATTGAGAATAACACTGTGTCAATTGAACATTTTTTATTTTAATCGAATCAAATATTATTGAGTTGAATTTAGTTTCGAAGCATACAACGACGTTTACATTTCCCCGTTAAAAACGTCGCTCCTTATCGACTGCACACGAGTGAAAGGAAGCGACGTCAAAATCACGTATTTCCTACAAACTTTCACGGGTCAACGTATTCATGGAAGGAATTCCGGTTGTTCTATGTTTCGACAATCCCCGCGCGTAAAAACGATTTCACGAGGCCACCGCGTTACATCATTTTCCGGCTTCCAGCGGTTGCCGCGGTTTCGCAACGAATTCCGCTGATGGTTCGCGACCTTTTTCCGGGATCGGACAATTCCGAAGCTTTAGACTGCGAGCGCGAATACGCGGGAATGGGAAAGAGGAAGGATCTTATTCGAATTCGACGATGTTCGAGGCGTAGCGATAGAAAAGACTTTGGAACGAGAAGCTTAGAGCATTCGGTGAACTTGTAACAGAAATTAGAGCTTGAAGCGTTTCACGCTGGAAGTACGGAGCATTTAATACGATTGGCTTAACTTCTATAGAAACTGTAACAATAGATTGCTTTTCATTCCTTCGGACGTTCATTGTAGTATTCAAATGAAACTATTTATTTTCAAAATCATTCCGAATATTCAATGCTTCGAAGATATCGGGGGGAATATTCTTTGGAAAATAAAGCGCTTTTTTCTTTATAATTTCTGAGATTATTTCTAGTATTCGATGCTTCGAAAATAATAATTGCGAAACTAGTCATCCTAACTGGTACGGTAGTTCTAGTGTTAATCACATTCCAATGAATGCAACTACGCGAATGTATGCTCCAACTATCTATCTTGAAACCTTCAGTTTCCAAAATTCGAATGAACAAACATGAATTGTCCTGGGAACGATAGGTCACCGGTGAATTTTCAATGTTGACCTCAGAGTCGAATTCGTTTTCGGCAGATTTCTAGGGAAACTTTCTGCGGCCGGAAACTAGAATAGGAACAGATAAGGGGATTTGTATTCGAATCGGATCGACTCGGTTCGATCGTGTTTCGGTTTCCAAACAAGCGGTAGGACAATTTCATTGGCAGTCGATTCAACGCGACCGACCGACCGTCAACGGCTCTATCGCCGGACGAACAATGAAGATACCTGTCGGCGCCGGACCGTTTTTGTTGATCGTTCGATTGGTACACGAACAATGCCGGTTTCCGCGGAAACTGCGCGTCAGAACGGAAGCGGCGCGATGTCCGGCACGGTCGAGAAGCAAGCTCGAGGATCGCGTTTCCGAGCGAGTCGCGGAAACGCGAGGAAAAATTCAAGGATGAACAGAAACGGCCTCGGTTCGTTCGCTTCTGGTGATGTTAACCCTTTGCACTCGAAAGCTAATCCCATTATCAATAATTCGCAAGAAATGTCAAGAGACATCCGATTGAACTTCGAAGGTGAAATGCTGAAAATAGTCTTTCGACCCATGTGCAATGAGGAACATTGATTTTCGTTCGATTAACGCGTTAAGCGCCATGTCAGTCACTGGTGACTGACGGTTTCGAATGACTAAAAAGCAATCGTAACATACAAGACAACCGATGTGAAATAAAAATGTTTAATAAGGCAACTAAGTTGATAATAGTGTAACGCGAACGTTGCAACGCCGAACAATTCATAATTATTCCTACTTTTCTTTACTACAAGAGACAAACTCTATGGGAAAACGCTTAAGATTTTCGTGGCGCTTAATATAAGTCTCGCTCGTTATTCTAGAGCGAGGGGTTAATGACAGAAGTTAGCGAATTTTCGACGAGCGATTCGAGTCGTCGGTGTTCTTTGAAACCAGACCTGCCGCGATCAGCCGAAAATCAGTTGTAACGTAGGAAGAAGGCACAGATGCTCTTTTGTGGCCGGGGGCAAAGAGCGTCACGCTTTTGTTCGGCTTTGTACGCGACGGGACAAAGAGAGTCCGCTTCTTTGCGACCTCCCGGTCTCTTTCACCTGGTCAAAGTGGATTATCCAAGGGCTTTGTCATTCGGGCCGGGCGTCAAAAATCGGTAAACTCTCTTACTGGGTTAACCTTGGCAAACAGTCGCTCCAGGGAAAAACCCACGCTCGCGCGACCCTGGATCTTTCGAATTTAAAGGGTCGTGGCACATTATTAACGATAAATAATTGTAACGGATGCACCTGCGAAATTCAATTGAATCCTAAGGCAAGAGGTTAAATGGACGGTTAAATGCATCATACGAAATTCAACGCTAAGTATACTTCGTAATTTTGCTGAACCAAATTGTATGGCGATCGAGGAGGGCCTATTAATTGTTTAATTATAATCTATGTCTACCATCAATTCGAATCCACAAATGTCCAAGTACGTTTCACTAAAAATTCAGTTGGCAAACGTAAAAGTTGAATTACTCAGGAAATAGCGCGAGTACCAAATCGTACGGCGATTGAGGCGACCTATTAATCGATTAATTATAATCCATATCTATCATTAATTCGAATCCACAAATATCCAAATTTGCGTTTCACTAAAAATTCAGTTGGCAAACGTAAAAGTTGAATTACTTATAAAATAGTCAGCGCGAGTACCAAATCGTATGGCGATCGAGGCGACCTATTAATCGATTAATTATAATCCGTATCTATCATTAATTCGAATCTACAAATATCCAAGTATTTATAGCTGGCAAGCGTAAAAGTTGAATTACTCAGGAAATAGTTTGCGCGAGTGATGGTTGCCGCAGGGCAACGAAGCGGTTGCGCAATGGCGGCACGAATCATTCACGCGACACCGCGTGCACGGTGGCCGAGTCTCGGGTTTTGCAGCTACCCGAGAAACTCCCGAGCGAGAAGGAAGTCGCGGATGCAGTGGGCCATGAACGTTATAAAATAAGTGTATTATCACGTAAACGGATACGCCACGGAACCGTTATGGTAACTCAGGCAGAAGATATACCGGGTACGCCATAAAGTAACTGGCGCAGTCGGCTTCTCACGTGACGAATAATATCGGCCTATCGAACCTAGATAAATCCCGTGAAAAGCGGAGCAACCAGTACGCTGTTAATCCCCTTCAACGTCGTTCAATTACCACGGCGTCCTTTTCACTAATTAACTTGTCGCGCCGGCAATTACCTATCCGAATATCGAGGCTTTCCCGTCTTTTTTTTTCACGCGTCAACGGAAACACCGATAAGAAGTCATTTCCGGGTACTTATCCCTCTATAGCCGAGCAATTTTCGAATCTATCGATACTAGTGTCTCGTCCATTTACCTGAATATTCTTCACCGTAAAATTCCAAACGAAATTGCGCTAATCTGTTAAGTTTTCTACATAAACGTACGCTAGTTGTAACTGCACAGTTACGGAGCATACTTCGCAGTGAGATGATTAGAATTATTAAAATTATTAGAGAAAGTGTTAATTCGTGTTGACACGTTAATTCCACGCTGTACAGGTGTCACAGCTACGAACGTAATTCGCTATAGAGGGTTCGCTCGTTCGTTGTCAACTAAAGCGAGCACAGGAGTCTCGAGAACAACCCAGAGGCGAGATCCAGTTATACTTGGGTTGTGTTCAAGATACGCTCCGTAAGCAAGAAACATAATCACAAAGAGCGGTATTACTGTTACAAAAGTTAAGGTCGCTGGAACACTGTGAAACGCTGGAACATTACGTAACCGGTAACTCTTCCCGTCACAGATGCGTTCCAGGGGGAATGTTACTCTCGTTTCTCGGTTTTCGGGGCTCGTTCGGGGTTGACGGGTTGCGGGAGAGTTGTTAGAAGCCGTTCGCGATTCTCCTTATAACCAGTGCACAGCACTCAAAATAAACAAACTCTCAACGCTCTTTCAGATGTCTTGGCAAAGAATCTACCTTGCTCTGGGACTGTTCGGCGTGGCGGTGCTCCTGGCGAGCGCCGACAACAGCGTGCACATTCTGTCGAAGTACCAGCTGGTCACCTCGACCACCCTCAACTGGCTGCCGCGCGTCCACTATAATCCGTCGAGGGAAATAGTCATCGGCGCCTTTGAGATCGAGGAGACTGAAGGTACGTTCAACTGAGACGAGAAAAAACAGATACGATAACTCGCTTCTCGCAGCTCGGGCGCAACTCGGGTCGCAACTCGGGTCGCCTCGGCTTCTTAACCCCTTGCCGTACAGTGACGAACGAGCTAATTTAACAGCAATGTTGTTCATTACCCACGGATCGAAGCAATTATTTCGCTGTTGTCAATGCATTATCTCCAGATGAAATTAAAGTAGAATGGACAATTTTGCTGCCTCTCTTCTAAATCGTCGATAGTGAAATATTACGCGAGCTTGGTACGTCAAGGGGTTGACGATTGGTATCCCTGTAAGAGTAAACCTCGCGAGGACTCCGAATGTTTCGTAGAATGAAACGTTCCTCCAGTCGAACGAATGGGGAACAGAGAAACGAAAGATTCAGTTGCGCGTTCGAGTCGGCGAATGTGGTTTACTCGAGACTCGAAACGCGAGGAGCATCGCGCTTGCTCGTGCAGTGGTACCAACCGGCGCTCAAAGCCGGAACGAAACTTTGTCCCCGGCTAATGGGACGGACAGACTTCCTCGCCGCGTCTTCCGTCTCGATGAACCTATACAAAATCGGTAATTGTCGCGCGTCCCTCGGAGTCTAGACGCAGTTTTTTAACGATTGTCGACGTTTTCGCAGAGGACTCGCACAACCGGGCGGAGAAGTCGGAGAGAGAGACGCCCCTGTACGTGTGCCGGGTGCTGCACACCACCGTCTGGGTGGCTGGCAGCCAGAAAGGCGACGAGAAACGGTGCACGGTGACGATCCACGGGAACGTGCAGTCCTACGATAAATACGAATTGCTCGAGAACGTGCACAATGCCGGCCGCGTCAGCTGGGTGCACTGGGACAAATACAAGCCGACTCCCATTGGAGCGGTGGCCACGGAAAAGATGTTCGTGGCTCGGCACGCGGCGCGCAACGACAAAGACGCTCCAGACGGCGCCGCGAGATACACCCATTATATCGGAACCTTGAATTCCCATGAAACCCTCGGCTCTATCAGTTACGTGAAAGACGTAAGTAATTGCCGCGCACACGCCGCTCTCTGTTATGTATCGTTGGAAACGACGCTGCGCGCATTCCGCGATCGCCGGTTACCACTGTTTGACCCTTTTACTGCTACGAGATTTCATAATCGCCGAACGTAACTGTGGGAATGGTGGAATTTGCGCGAAATAGATGATAGTACTTGGAAGATAGATTAACGCGTTGCCGACCGACGCTTCTGAATGACTAGAAAAGAATAACATACCAGACAACCGATGCGAAATGGAAGTGTTTAACGATAATATAACTAAGCCGATAGTGTAACGCATTGTAACGCCAAGTAATTCATAATTGTTAGTTTTCTTCGGTAAAAGAGAAACTCTATGAGAGAACGCTTTAGATTCTCACGGCTGAACGCGTTAAGAGCCGAGCCTGATCGGAATTGAATATCGGAGAGTCATGTTGATAACGTGTTATTTTTTCATCAGGATGGCACGGAGGGATCTGCGAAGTCCGGCGACGTTCTGGTTGAAACGGAGCCGATATATTACAGTCTAACAAGGGTTAAACTGCACTGGCTTAAAAAGCAAGCGATCAAGCGCGTACCCCGTATATTAGGGGAAGCAACGATTGCCAATGATAGACAGGAAGGTGCAATCATGGCGCTGGCCATTGGCTATGAATATAAGTATTCCGTGTACTGGGGACAGGGCACCGCTATGTTGAAGGGCCTAAACACGTCGATCACTTTGACGAACGGAACGGCTCTGCCGACGATAGTCTGGGGCACACAGGAGAAGAGCAATCGCAGCGACACGTACACGTGAGTATCGTCGGTGTGACACGCAACTGTGGGTCATTCTCTAACGATTGCGACTCGCTCGATTCGCGTTCATAATCTCTCTCGTCGCTTCCAACAGAGTGAAGATATTCCTGCAACCCGGCACAGCGGTGAACGTCACCCTGAAAGCTAATTACACCGACATGGAGGTGCCCTACTCGGGAACGCTGATCTCCCATTACGAAGACGAGGTGACCAAGTCCCGCGGGATCAACGGTATTCGCCGGGAAGAAACTATGTTCGACGTCACGCCGGAATTCGGACAGATTTATTTCTTAAGCAACAACACCCTAGTTCCTACTACCACCGTACCGCCCACCACCGAAGCGAGCACCACCGTCACGACGGAGGACTCCAGCAAAGAGCCTCGCAAGAAGGACACGAGTAACGAGGACCACGACGAGAACATGATTATACCGCCGAAGAAGTCGGACATGTCGAATATGCAAAGCGACGACGGCGGTCCTCTGTCGCTTAAGAATAAGGTGGAAGCTTCGCATTCTGGAACATGTTCGCATACGTTGAGCATTATATGTATACCCCTGTTAACGGTCATCATCCATAAAATTACGTGAAAACACGACTTCTGAGGGAATCCTAACTCCTAAGTTGC